AATGTGGAGAGTGCTGAAGAAGATGACAAGAGTGTACGAAAAGCGCGGTCATGCTAGACGGAGAACTTTCTAAATTCTTCGACATTGAGCAAGGGGTCCCACAAGGTTGCACGCTGTCCCCAACATTGTTCCAGGTGTTCATCAACGATCTGTTGGAAGTCGTAGAGGCAGTCCGGAAGGGAGTAAAAGTAGGGGACACGGAAACGTTGGTGTCAGGAATGCTGCTTGCGGATGATTTTGTTGGTATGTCGGACACCCCTGAGGGACTGCAACTGCAAATTGACGCGGCGAAGAAGTTTACTGATAAGTGGAGATTGTCTGCCAACGTTACGAAGAGTGCCGTCATGGTATGCAACGAGGGCAGGGAGGAACCAGTAGAACATAGATGGAAGTGGGGGATCGAGGAGATTGCAGTAGTGGACCAGTACACATACCTCGGAGTAGAGATCGCAAAAGATTGCTCGTGGAATGCACACATGTCCAAGGTAGCGGAAAAGGGCAAAGCACGAGCAGGGAAGCTGCACCCAATACTCGCAAACCGGCACCTTGATACACGCATCAAATTGACGGTGTTGAAGAGCGTAATCGTACCGCCGCTAGAGTACGCCGGACAAGTATGGGAAGGAAATAAGAAGGTAGTGAAAGAACTCGAGGCGGTGCAGATGAAAGCAGCGAAAATCATCCTAGGATGCTCCAAGCGCACAAGTAATGCAGCAGTCCGGGCAGAATTGGGGATCCAATCCCTACGGTCGGGAAGAGACGTAAGGAAGCTGACATGGCAGTATCGCATGTGCGGGATGGGAGAGGAGAGGTTGCCGAGAATAGTATGGGAGGCGAAGTGGGCAAACAAAAAGAGGGGTAGACAGCCCACGGAATGGCTCAAGGTTGTAGAGGACGTATGGAAGGGATTGGACATCGACGAAGATGAAACGCTGGAAACGGAGGGTCTACAGGGGTTCAAGAAGAAGATATCTGTTGCTTGTGCCGACAGAGAAGAACAGAATCTAAGGAAAGAATCCAAGGATAAGGAGGGTCTAGAAGTGTACGGAATGCTGAAAGAAGGAATAGGGTTCAAGGATTACCTACATGGACCAATGGATGCAGGGACAAAGCTTAAGGTCAAATTCAGGACCGGGGACATAGGCCTTCGCGAACGTCGACGAAGACACAGGACGGTAGACGACGAAGACGATAAGTTCAAATGCGATTGCGGCTTCGAATGCGAAGACAGTTTTCATGTAGTCGCGGAATGTCCGTGGTACGAAAAGGAGAGGGAAGTGTACATGACTGAGCTGGGAAGAATACAAGTGACGTACAGGGAGATGTTTGAGGCATGGAATAGAGAGGAGAGGACGGTAGCGGTACTGGGGAGTAGAAAGTGGTTTGAAAAGGCGGGAAGGGACATCGGTAGGATAGACAAACTAGGGAAGACATTTTTGAGCCACCTTTGGCAAAGTAGGAAGGAACGATTGGCCATCGGTGATCGGTCCTGTGGGAACAATGCTCCGTCCTCTCGAGGACGCGTGGTC